TTGTTTTATGAAGCAGCAGAAATGAAATATGGAATGTGTGTTATGTTGTTGTTCCTTTCCTTTCCTTTCCTTTCCTTTTTTTTTATTTATTTACGCACATTTCCATGCATGCACGTATACGCACTTGCCTAAATCACTGCTAGCGGGGTATCCTTCATGTATTTATGACAAAATTTTAGGAAATTTTTTTTTTTCCTTTTTTTTCTTCTTCTTTCTTTGGGTGTGTACGTGTGTGCGCTGCGTGGGTTTGCACCTTGTCTTTGCTCTTTGATGTTGTTGTTGTTGTTGTGGTGGTGGTTGTTTTTATTTGTATTTATTTTTTTACGTTTATTTTAAATACGCAGCCCACCTCTTTTTTTTTTTTTTTTTTTTTTTTTTTTTTTTTTTTTTTCACCCCCTTTGGGGTGGTTTCGTAAAACAGTTGTACAAATGCGGATGTGTATGTGTGCGAGCACAATTTGTCTTTTTTTTTTTTTTCTTCTTCTTCTTCTTTCTTCTTCTGATCCCATTTTTCATTCTTTGTATGTGAATCCATGTACATGGATATATATACACGTGTGGGATCTTGCCGTTGGTTTGGGTTATATGCAAATGGCACGTATACACGGGGTGTGTGTGTGTGGGGGGGGGTCTTGTGTGAGTTTTTTCTTCTTTTTCTTCTTCTTCTTCTGTAAATTTCAATGAATTCACACACGGAGAAAAAACAAAAGGGATTATATTTTAGACATAAAAATAAATATTTTTATTTTTTATTTTTATTTACTGCTGTGATCGCAGTTCCATCCACCCGCTTGTATCCGTCACGGTATTTAAAGAAAGAAGAGGGGGGGGGGGGGAAAGAAAAAAGAAAAAAAAATGCGACGCATTTCTCCTGTTATTTTTGGGGTGCGTGTTGTCTCTTTTGCCACGACGTCAGTGGCGTTTCTGCAGGCCAGGGCTGGCGGGGGCCTCACAGACGAGGAGCAGCGGGAGCTGGAGGAGGAAGAGTTTCGCGTCATGGATGCGGCACGTGAGGAGGCTGAACTTCTCCCTATTGCCCATCGACTTGCTGCGAAGGCGGATGCGTTGGATGCCGAACTTCGTCGTCTGTCGTACGTTTTATTTGAAAAGCCACAACTTGTCATGGACACGCGTTCCGCGACATTGACAGGACGTCCTACGAGCATTCTTACAGTGATGCGGCGGTACAATGCAGGCAGTAGGCATACTAGTTGTCCAGCGGGGTGGGTAAAACCATTGGGTTCTTCCTCATGGATTGTTCAGGCATACAAAGGGGTACATTCTGCCGGGATGCGTCTTTGTGGCCGCGCAAAGCAAGAGGAATCGAAGCGGCCGGATCAACTTGTGACTTTGACAGGAGATTTGGACTACATTCGCCGAATGAAACATCTCCACGCATTGAATTTTTACAGTCGAATGAATTTAACGCCAAAGCGTCACATTGGGTTTTCTCTTTATGCACTCCTGTGGAATGTGGTGGTAGCGGTGCAGAATGCGGTGGGTTGTGTCATTTTCGGTGCGATGCGTGGCGTGCGTGACAACGAAGCGTGTGTAGGCATCATCAAAGGAACTGCCATTGGTATTCTTCGTGCCTTGCAGTTCCTTGCATACGGTCTTTTAGTTTCCCCATGCATTCACATCCCATGTGGACTCTGCAACAGTCTTTACGGTGTATGGAATGCGGTGTCGGGGACACTTTTCTTTGAAGTGAGTGCAGGACGATGGCAGTACTCCACCGCCTTGGATGCCGTGTGGCTGCGTCACGATATCCAGTTGGAGCAGCGTGCAATTCGTGGCGTTGGTCGTTTGGAATTTCGCCGAAAGAACATGAGGGCTGAAGAAAGATGGCAACAACGTCTTGCCTCCATGGGATTTTCGTTTGACAAAATCAATCAAAAGATGAGGCGAACGGGAGACACACGGCGTCCATCGTCCGCTGCATGGAAGGAGGGGGAGCATGCGGAAAGGGGTGGGGCGGAGGAGGACCCGTACGAAGTGCTTCAAGTGAAACGATCCGCCACACAGACACAAATTAAGGCACAGTACAAAAATCTGGCGAAAGTATTTCACCCGGATGTGGTGCAAAGCCGTCATGGTGGACCGCTTAGTGAAGAGGAGCGACGTGACGCCCAACGGAGATTTGAAAGCATCTCACAGGCTTACCAAATTTTATCTAACCCCGAAAAACGCAAGTCGTTTGATCTTGGCGGGGCACAAGCATTACGGTTACATGAAAGTAAAATGGGACGTTTCATGTCACGCACCCCGGAGGAAATGATTCAGAGTGTCTTTGGTGGAGAACCATTTCGAGAAAAGATACTCGGCTCTCTGCTACGGTCGCATTGGCATTTGCGGAACGAGGCGCAGGTAAGTGTTTCTTTGCATGAGTTTGAAGAATTACAGTGTCTGCGTTGCCGTGAGCTGACGGCGGAATTGGCGCAGATTCTCGATGTGCACGCCAACTCTCCACTAGCAACAGGGTACCAGCCACGGGGCGGCGGGCACGGTCGGAGTGAAGTGCTGCACAGCTTGCTAAGCGAACTGGGTGGCAGCGCGCCAAAGCCAAAATCACGTACATCATCGCAACGCAGCGCGAAAAATAATGCGACGACGGAGTCCATGTTCGACTTAACTCCCGGAAGTAATGAGTACAACTGTTTCTCAAGAGATTTTGAGGAGCGTTGTGAGAGATTTACTCGACGCCTGTCTGAGGCGTGTTTTGGTCGGGAGTTGATGTATGAGGCGGGGCAGTCTTATGTCATCTCCAGCCAACGCTTTCTCGGGATTCGCCCGTTTTACGCTCCCAAGTTGCACGTGTACAAGAAAATTTTCTCTGGTGTGGACCGTGTGTACGCGGCGTTCCGGGAGAAGATTGATGACCGTGCCAAGAATAATAAAGAATGGCTTGCGCAGAAGGTGATGATTGAATACTTTAGCATGGAGTTTGACGCCGTGGTGGCTGATGTGAGCGTTATTCTACGCTACGCAGCACAAAATGTATTGCAGGACGTTACATTGAACGAGGAGCAGCGTAGGCGTCGGTGTTATGCCCTTTGGTATCTGGGTGAGCAGATGGTGCGAAAGGGAGCACCATGGGTTGCCATGTCACGGGACGATGCGGAGTTGATGGCGTACTTGCAGCAGGCCGCCAACTCCGCCTCCACGACGAGTAAACCGGGACCGTTTTGATGAACACAACACGCTGGCGATCATATATATATATTTTTTATATGTTTCCGCGTGTCTGCCTGTGTGTGTGTGTGTGTGTGTGTGAGGGAGTCTTATCATGTGGTGGATGAAGTGAGGGAAGGAGCGGGGGGAAAAGAATGGCGGTGAGTTCACAGAGAGAAAAGAAATATGGTGCGAGAAGAGTGGGTATTGTTGGTGTCATTTACTTCTTTTTTACTTTTTTTTTGTTTGTTATTTCTTGCAGTGTTGATGATGATGATTATTATTCCCCATTTACTCTGGAAAGGGCGAAAGGAGGGGGATAATATATTTAAGCCTCCTTCCACCCTCCACTCACAATCCTAAAGGACCCGGAGAGGGTAACGAGAAGGAGTGTTTGGGTTGTGGTGTTCTCTCAAGTCAGCATGATTTGAATCCAAGTGAACATCATCTCTTTTTTTTTTTTTTTTCCTAATTTTTTATTTCATTTTCCTTTTAAACACGCATAGACGGAAGGAACGTATATATACATATATATATATATACTTTTGTGTTTTTTTTTTTTTTGTTTTGTCTTGTTGTTGCTTCTCCTCCCTCAGTCAGTAGTTCACAAGTAGTAGAAATATCACAACTACACACACAAAAAGAAAAAGGAGGGGAAACGAGGAGGAGGAAATTTTGAAGGGAATTTCCCCTTTTTTTCTCCTTCTTTTTTTTTTTACTTTTGTTGTGATTGTTGTTGTGGTGTTTGTGTTTGTAGGTTTGTTGTTTCTGTTTCCTGTGTGTGTTCCGCCATGATGGAGTTTGACCTGCTTGACGACGCGGAGGAGATCCTGCAGCCGCTGTGCCTCTGCCTCAACCAAGACTCCTCGCGTGTTGGTGTGGGCCACCACAAGGGCTACGTCATCTACCGCATTCATCGCCGCCCCGCTCCTGCGGGAACGGAGGAGGCATCGTCGTCGTCGGCCGCGGCATCATCCACCGGGCCGCCATTTTACACGACGATTGAGGCGGTTTTTCCGCCAAGACGCGGCACGCAATGTTCGACACCGTCAACGTGGGACGTACATGAAGGTGCCCCATCGCCACACGCCGCCGCCTCCTCAACAGTGGGGACAAGCCGAGTGCGTAGAATGTCCGGCGACCACCGTGACGAGGTTGACCACGACACTCTGCTGGACGCCCTCGCACACAGTCCGTTATTGCAGCGCATGGGCAAACCTCTTGAGAGCAGGGAAAAGGAAGAAAGTCAGGTGACGCTTGAAGGGACTTCTGTAAACTCCAATCCTGTGGGAACTTCCGCGACAACTTTGGCGTCAACACTCCTCGGTAAGAACTTTTTACGGTGGACGGAGGAAAAAAGAGATGCACCGTTGCCCACAGAAACAGGTGTGGGTGCGATGGCGCTTTTGTACAAGACGCAGTTTGTTGCTGCAGTCGGTGGTGGGCCGTACCCTGTTGGGCCTAAAAATGTCGTCAAGATATTTCTTACGGGTGATATGTGGGCTGATCGCGAGATATGCGTGCCGGACCCGGTGGAAGAACTGCGGTTGGATCATCGATTGGTTATCATCCTCACCACCCGGGAAATGCGTCTGCATAGCTTTGAGACGGAACTATGTATCTTTTCCGTGCCGCTGTGGGCAGACACTGTCCCCACCTCCCGCCCGTCTACCTCCACCTCACCTCTGTTCTCCGCGAGTGTTTCTTTAAACTCTACAAGGTTGCAGCAGCTTAATCTTGGCGCTTCTGTTACGACGGCTTCGACTTCGACTTCGGCTGCGTCTGCAACACGTTTTGTTGCACCGCTTGCCATTGACTATAGCAAAAAATGTATTGCCTTCCGCAATGCAATGGTGGGGTTTAGTCTGGTGCGCTACGATGCGGAGGCGTCATTATGTAATAGGGTGAATGCAGAGTTGCTATCTACAGTTTCCGTTGCCCACGAACACGCACTCAGCTCTCTGGCAATGGATCTCAACGGTGACATTAGGAGCAGCGGCAGCAACACCGCTTATGGATCCATGCGTTGGCATATTGCAACCTGCAGTGAGCGTGGGACAATTATACGGGTTTGGCGATACTATGAAAGAAGAGGTGAATCGCCAATTACGGTAGATACAACCGCTTCGTCCGCTCCGCATTCTTCTGATGTGGCGGTTAAGAGCACAATTGCTGAGGAAGATAGTAGTAGGACACTTCCTGGATATTTTGTGAGGGTGAGGGAAGTAAGAAATGCGTCGCTACCAACGCCCATCTTTCAAATGCGCTTTCTTGGTGAGGCCTTTCTCTTCTGCATAGCGTGGAACACGTTGAAGATCTTTTTTGTGGGTGAGCAGGAGCAGCCAAAGCCGTACGACATCAGTACGAAGGATCCAAGTAAGACCGTTATTACACAAAACAGCTACTCCTCCCTACATCATCTCAGTGTGGTTTCCGCGTATTTTAATTCCGAATGGGCCGCCTGTGAGTGTCCATTCCCGCTGACGGACGATGTGTTTCTCCCCAAGTGGGTGAACACGACGTCTGGGGAATTGCGACAGCATCTGTTGCGTGGCATGGGTTCCAGCTCTCGAATGACGGTGAGTGGCAACGGTGTAGAAGGTGAGACGTCTAGGGTTTCTGCCGATCCAGAAATCCCTGAACCTGTCTCCTTGCTTAACGACATCCAAGTGTCTCAGTCAAGATCCCAAAGCTCTCTGGTGTGCACAGTTCCTGCACGGAGCAAGTCGCAGGATTTTGGTGGAATTCTTCGCCGGTATGTTTTACAGATGGCACCAATGGTAGAGAGTGCGGGTCGGGTTGCCAGGAATTACTGGGGATTTGGTGGAGAGAGCACGGAGGCGGCAAGAAGTGGCGTGAATGAAGTGACCAACGACTATTCACAAAAACGGGACTACACCACGATGACTGAAGTCGCTCAATCAGTGGTAGTTTGGTGGGAACAGCCAACATATTGGCAGGTGGAATATATGACAAAGTCTTTGTCACGTCTCAGCACCAACACCACCACTACCACTACTAATATTACCACCACCGGTGAGGTATTTCCCAATCGCACCAAGTGCCCTCGACCAACAGTGTTGTACTGTGTCACATGTGACGGTAGTGCCATCAGCTTTGAATTCGACCCTGTCAAAGGCAAAATTGAATGCAGCAAAGCTACGGCAGTGAGTTCACTTGAGGATTGAGTGTAGATATAACAGTATATTATGTGTTAGAGATCAAAAGAAAAACAAAAGGAAGAAGAAGAAAAAAGAAAAAAAAAAAAGAAAAGAACAATTCGGTCGTATTTCTTTTTTGGTGTAATGAGTGGAAGCCTTTTCTGCATCTTATGCTTTTTCAATTTGCCGGTAGCTATATATTTTACATTATATAATTTTTATGCGTCACTTTTTTGCTGATAATTACCTTGACCACACATAAATCGTTGGAAGTGACGCGTTGGCATATATATATATACAAGTGTGTAAGGCTTCGGGGTTGTTGTGTCCCATGCAAACACGCATCCATATACACATATGGACAGATATGTATATATTTTTCTTTTTTTTGTCCTATTCAGTATTATGGATGGAATTACGAAGTGTGTAAGAAATAGTTGAAAGATGCGATGGAAAAACACAACAACAACAACAAAAAAAAAAGGGGGGGGGAGGGGGGGGAGGGGGGTCAGTAAAGGTTGCATTGAAGGTTTTTTGGAGAATTTTTGATGTTTTGTTTTTGTTGAATGCAACCGTATTCTTTTGTTGTTGGTTGGTTGCTTCTTTGAGTATATATGTATATATACAGACAGACAGACATATACATTTATTTTAATGGGTACTTTAATTTTCCCCGTCTTCTTGGACTTGCCAAAGTTGACGGTATTGGTGGGCCTGCAGAGGTGGTTGAACTCTTGCAGGAACGACAAAGAGGGAAGAGAAGGAAAGAGATAGAGAGAGACGGCATGTGACGAAACGTGCCTCACATTAAAATGACCGATTTGTGTGGTGTGCGTTACCTTTGCTTTTGTTATTTCTTTCTTTCTCTTTTCTTTTTTTTTTTCTTTTCTTTTTTGTGTGTCTTTGTGCCTTCCTTGAGTTGTAGCGGCACGTTGCCTCTTCTTTGAGTGGAGCAAAAAAAAAAAAAAAAGGGAGGGGGGGGACAGAACGGATAATGGTGGGGATGTGGGAAGGAGGTGGTGGAGTGTGTAAGTGCATTTCTTCATTGTGTCCGAGCGCACCGTAAGCACACATATTTTATGCTGCCGCCGTTGATGTTGTTGATATTTCTGCACTTTTTTTTTTCTATGTGTGTGTATAATATCTACTCGATGCTCACACACTTGGCCGCGGCATGATTCCCCGCTGCGTATTGTTTGCTGTTGTTGTTGTTGTTGTTTTTTTATTTCTGTGTGCATGTAAGAAGCGGGGAGGAAAGAAGGTCGGGGTGGTGGAAGGACGATGACCGACGTTGTGGAGGCGCCTCGACCCGCGACGGTCGCTGAGGCCTTTGCAAATACCGCGAAGGCATTGGAGCAGTTCAACATTGAGCGAATACGTGTGGAGGGACTCAGCTGCAAAAGCAGCATCACGCATTGCAGGAAACACGATAAGAACAACATGGAAAAGGAGGAGGACGTTCGAACGCTCACGGAACAGGCATTTATGCGGGAATTTGTCTTTCAGTCCCGACCGTGTGTCATTGTTGGGGCACTGGAGGACTGGCCTGCCATGCAGCGCTGGCGTGATGACAGGTATCTTTTTGACTTGGATGGGCACTTGTCACGTGTGCGCAGGGAAACAGATGACGCTGCCGCCCCGTCCAGTGAGGGAACGGCAGCAACGGGTGATGTGGCGGTTGTGCCCAAAAACAATGATCATGACTCCTCTGACGACAACACCCACCCGCGTGAGCGTGAAGAGGAGAAGGACGGCTTGAAGCGAGTGACGGTCGCACTGACGCCGAATGGCCGCGCCGATGCAGTGACGTATGTGACGTATCAAGGCGCCCGAGAGGAGGGAAGAGAAAATGATGTTGATGGAAAGAAGGATAATGTGGAGGAGCATTTTATAAAGACGGAAAAATTATTTATGGCTGCCGCAGAGATTCGTGCAACGTTGCCAGAGTTGTATCATCTTCTCCGCGAGAATCCACTTTACCCGCCGGTGCGGCCGGTTTTTGTCGACCTGCGCCGCCCTGCACCGGTTGTTGCCTACGCACAGATGCAAAACAACTGTTTGGAGGTGGAGTATCAGCACCTCCACGGCGATATTCCCCCGGAGCTTGATCGATTTGGTGAGCGCGTTTTTGGCGAACCGCATGAAGCTGCAAATGTGTGGTTTGGCACCCCTGCCTCTGTGTCATCGATGCACCAGGACTGGGTGGAGAACTTGTATGCGGTGGTACGTGGCGTGAAGGAATTTATACTCCTCCCGCCTTGGGAAGGAGTGTTTGTGCCAAAACCCGAACTGCCCTCCGCGGCGTTTTCTGTCCAGCGACAGGACGGCGTGAATGGCTATGTCTTTTCTGGTACACCCGTACATGATGGCTTGACGATACCATGGATGGATGTGGAGTTTACACCGGCTGCACTGGAGGATGTATCGCTCATGCCAACAAACATGCAGGAGCGGTTGCATCCACTTGTGGTTTACGTGCAGCCAGGGGAAGTGCTTTATCTTCCCGCCATGTGGCTGCACCGCGTGGCGCAGCACGCCGACGATACCGATCGTCTTGCAAGGGAAAAGCAGTTGACATCATCATTGCAAAGTGCACAGGATCCACCATTGCCTTTGATTGCGGCGGTAAATTATTGGTATGATATGAGCTTTACAAATCCTGCTGTTGTCATGTTGCGTGAATTCGGTTTACTGTTGTGAAGAAAGTAAAAAAAAAAAAAAAGAGGTCTTATTAAAGGAAAGAAGGAAAAAACGGAGTTGGTCGTCATTCTCGTTTAAACAAAAAAAAAAAAAAAAGGAAAAAAGAACAAAAGACGCTTCTTGTTGTGTTATGTCCTTCCTATAAATGGGGAAGGTGATTATACATAAAGGGGGCTTCTGTAGATAACACTACGACACCACAACATGCAGATGTTGCTTTATCGTTTGTGTGTGTAGTGACGGTAATGGCAGTCTTTCCCTTCTCTCGCTCCCTCTTTCACTTTGACTGCTCAACAAAGCGTCACGAAAAGGAAAGGAAGGGAAAAATAAAGACTTCACTACCCGTGCGTGGAGAAGGGAACGGTGCATTGAAAGACAAGGGAACAAGAACTAAACATTGGGGTGTGTTGAAAGAAGAAGAAATAAAGAAATAAAGTTTTTTATTTAGCTTATTTATTTGTTTGTTTATTTATTATTTTCTTTAGTTGTTAAGAAAAAGGTAAATAAAAGCGTATTTCTACTGGCCGCGGCAGCTGAGGGAAAGAACGGCAGGGCGACATACGGGACAGACTTAAACGGCACGAGGACCACAATGACAGAACGTTCCCTCATGATCCGCCACGCTGTGACAGGGCGTTACTTTGCCGTCGGCATGGACTTTCCGAGCGCAAGGGTATTTGACGTGGCGACGGGCTCACTGGCGGCAGTGGTGGAGGTGCCACCACGGAGCCGCACGTCTCTCGCAGTGGTGTCGTTGACGGCGTTGGCGTTGGGCGAAATTAATGAGCCTCATGCAGCGGAGGAACAGAGGAAGGCGATGGATGTGGTGGGCATGTCAGGCGCTTGCCATGCGGCGGTGGGTTTGAGCAATGGAACGGTGTTGCTGCACAACGTGCCGAAGGACGAGCTTTTGCAACACCTCGCTGTGTCGGACACGCAACAGGCAATTACGGCAGCTGCCTTCTGCGGTCGCCATTTGTTTTGCGTTGTGGGGAATCGGTCTCTTTGCGTAGTAGATTGTCTGCGTGGTGAGCGTGTGGGGTCTCAGCTAAGGGTGCAGCAAGACGCTGGGGCCATTGCCGTCATGAGGTGCAGAGAGGACGATGCTGCGAATGGAGCTCCTGATGTGGGATGTAAATTTCTTATTTTTGTCTCGGGACCCACCAACGCCGTGTACACACTTTGTCTCGGTAACGAGGGGGCCCAAAACACAGTAGCGACAATGGAACGATTGGTGTCTTTTGCGTCACAAGCCTCCCGCTCAGACTTTGCGTGGATGAGCGGCACGACGCAGCATCCCATTGTTGTTACCGCCAGCGCCCAGGAAGGTGTTGTGCGGGTGTGGGATGCATACCCCAGCGTCAGCGGTCAAACGACGTCCTCACGCTGCCGCCGCAGCCTCCTCTGTGGCCAGCGCATTATGGGCATCTCCGTATATGATCCCACAACTATGAATAGCAGCGCCAACGGCTATCGCAACGGCGTTGGGGGGAGTGAGACCTTTGTGGCCGCCACGAACTTCACCGGAGCGGTGCTCGTGTGGAATCTTGGAAGCGCTTTGTTAACACCCGTGGCAGATCCAGTTCCGACGCCACCAACGCTACGCATTGTTTCAAAGGAGATCTCCGCACGACTCCTCTTTGGAGCCTTTATCCAGGGAGCCGCGGGGGAGTATCCATCCCTGCTGGTGTTGCGAGGCCGCTTTGCGGTGCCACATTTTGAGTCGGTAGACCTACGCGAGGCCGCGCAGCGGGCGTCAATGGTATCATCCATGACCCCCGCAACGTCGTCATTGGCAGAAGAGGGTGCCGTCTACGAGTTGCCAACAGGGCCCAACTCCGAGAGGGCAGGGAAGATCGACGCGGTGCATGCCGACATGGAGGTGCTAGACCACGCCTGGGCCACGCACTGTCTTCAACAGCAGCGGCAGCAACGCCTCGCTGCCCGTGCCATTTACACGCCCTCGGAAGGTTTTGTCCCGCCGGTGTCTTTTCACGCAGCTAGTGTAAAGGACATCCCGCAGAACAAGCTGACACTGGAGCAGCGCCTGAAGAAACTCTCGCTTTCATCTGCAGCACCGTCGCAACAACAACAACAGGAGCACTCACATGCTCTGGGGCTCGCGACGGTTCCCTTGTATCAGGCGCTTCACGCCAGTGACGCATCAGCGGTGATGGAGCTTCTCACTGTTGCTTCGCGGTCTGCGGAGGACATCCGAGCGACTGTGATGGGTCTTCAACTGCCGTACTGTCTGGAGCTAATGCAGATTATTGCGCAGCGCGTGCGTGGGGCAACCTCCCGCTCACCCCTATTTGTTTGGATAGACGCCATTGTTCACTACCGCGGAGTGGAGATGTACCAGGCTCAGCAGTTATTCAAGCAGCAGCGGCATCAAGAAGAAAAGAAGAAGAGCGCATCATCGAGCATTTACAGCAATGGAGTAAATGACCCTCTGTTGCCAACGTCAACAACAGCAGCATCGTCAAAGGCAAAGCCTTCACCACCAAAGGAATTTGTTGCGCCACTGTTGCATCAATATAGGAACATGACGGCTCTGTACGACCCTCTTGCGGCGATGTACGGTCGGCTTTCCATCTTCAAGTCCGTCCGTCCATCGGAGAAGGGTGTGTTTGTGAATTCCGACGCAGGTATCATTTTTCCGACGATGTTCACGGAGATTCGCTGCGCCGGTGGCGAGTATCGAACAATGCGAGTGCGGAGCAAGCGTGATCCCCATGCAAGGAAGAATAAAAAGAGAAGTGCTGTGGCTCTTCTTCGAAAAGCACGTCGCCTGGCGGCTGCCGAAGAGGCGGGGGCGGCAGCAGAAGCAAAGGGAACTTCTGAGGACAATGTGGAGGAAGACTATGATGATGAAATTGACATGAACGCTTTGGATCAAATGCGTCTGGGAGATGACACCGACGGAGAGGAGGAAGAGGAAGAAGGAGAGAGTGATGCGGACAAAGGCCCCGGCAAGCGCGCACGCGGGGAGCAAACAGAAATGATTGCAGAGGCGGAGCGCGGCTCATCGTACGGCATTGAGTCCTCCACACGCAGCAGTGAGGTGGAGTTTGACACGGCGAGCGACGACGATGTCCACTCCGCAGCTGCCGAAAATGACGACGATGAGGAAGACGATGACGAGGAGAGTAGCAGCAGCATTAGTAGTGGTGTCGCCACCGCTGACATGTTTGACGACGAGGAATACGAAGACGACGACGACGACGATGATGGCGATGATAATGACGGAATGGGCGATGACATGGCGGAGCTGCTAGAGGTGCAAGGCGAGGACAAGGAGCGCGAGGGGCGGCGGCACAAGCGAGTAAGGACAGAACACTAAGACTCATATCACTGCATGGAGCGCATTACATGGGTGCATGCATGCGTAGCCGTGTACTGAGGAAGAGAGGAGGGTGGAATATATATATATTCCCAAAATGAAGAATAAAGGCAAAAAAGAACAAGAAAAGAAAAGGAAATTGAAGGCAAATCACGCCACGCACTTAAATGCGCATGTGGGTGGGGGGGGGGGGGGGGAAGAAAGAGAGAGAAAGAGAAAAAGAGGGGATTCTCTGCTGTCCCTCTTGAAATGCGTGCCACAGGAGGTGTTTCCACATAAGCGATTAATCGTGCAAGTCAATAAAAAGAGAGAAAAAAAAATTTTATTATAAATTGAAACTTTCTGCCGGCCAAATGAAGTGGATTTAATGCTCTTCAGCCGTGTTTTTTTTTTTTTTCCTCTTTTGACTGCCACACGTTGATACATCTATGCAGGCACCAGTTTGTTGGATGAATGCATGGTGTTTTTTTTTTTTTATGCGTTGCTCTTTTTCCTTTTATTTTTCTTTTTTATTTCCCTTTAGGGAAGAAAATTTTATTTGGTGCGTTTTTGCTACCGTTGTGCGTCTCAAAGTGGAGGAAGCGTCCTCTTACAGGAAACCAGAGGGAGGGGACATTATTATTATTTTATTTTTTTTGTTCTGCGCAAAAGAGAAGGAAAGAAAAGAAAGAAAGAAAACACACACACACACACACACAAACGGGGAAAGACGAAAGCAAAAGGGCATCCAAGAGGGGGTGGGAAAGGAGGAAGGATTAGAAAAAGAGCAGCACACCTGCATATTTGTATTCAGGCCTCCTGTTCCGTCGTGTCTTTTTAGAAAGAGGGAGTCTTTGTTGTCGTCGTCACTTCCGTCGCCCTATCACACACAAATAGCACGTTTTTTTTTTTTTTGTTGTTGTTGTTTTGGCGCCGCAGGTACATTTCCCTTTTAGTGAGTGGGTAAAGGGGGGGAGGGGGGAAGTAAGCGGATTTTGCTTTTCTTGTTGTTTTGATTGAGAGAGTGCGTACGTGCGTGTAGGTCTGTGGGTTTCACCGTCTCACCTTGCGGCGATGGCTCGGTACATGTTTTGGCGGCGACGCGGCGCCATGCAAGGGGTTGTGGAGGGTCACTTCTGGAGCCTCACGCGGTATCGCATAGGCCGGCGCTTTTTGGGCCTTGACTACGCTGACAACGTCATTTTATTCCCCGCGTACCGCAAGAAGACGTGGGGCGGGTGGGCCGCCGTCACTCTTGGTGCGACGAACGCGAGTTACTTGACAAGTGACACCTCCTCGGCAAATGTACTGGAGGACGGCTACCCGCTGCATTGGCGTGCGAGCACCAAGCTGCAGGCCTTTATTGCCGAGGAGAGGAACGATTGGAATAAGCGAAAGGAGGAGGTGATTGCGCGGCGCGCGGCGGCGATTGTCGAGGAGGGCGAAGCCGCTTCTAGCAGTCCGAGTGGCACCAGTAGGAATAATGGCGCTGCGAATAATGCCGGAGAGAAGGGAGCACATGAATACGACGAACAGCACTTCCGCGATGCCATTACGATAAAGTGCACTTCCCCTGGATTTTCCCAGCGTCATCTACGCCTACGCCCATTGACGACTATATTGTACAAGGCAATGTACTTTTACATTTGGGGCATTGCCATCTCTGTCATTGTGCAGGCGTACCTGTTGTTCCGCGGGTGGCTGAACCCGCCAGCGCGAGAGGGGTTAAAGAACATTGAGAACCATGTGCTACATATTCCGAAGCTTATCTTCAGTCTCTGTGTGTCTGGCTTTGCGTGGCTGTTGCAGAAGACGCAGCCACTTGTGGATCCTCTTCTACATGTTCTTGAGGAAAAATTTCCACGGGTAAATTGGAGCGTTGCGTCACCGAAGGTGATTGCAACGAAGGCGCATCAGCTGGCAGGGAATGAGGAGGCGGCGCAGCAGTTGGCCGCCATGGAAGCTGAGAGAGTCGCGGCTGGAAGGGCAGCGCGACAGCAGGCAGATGCGGGGCGCCGAACGTGGTGGAAACGGGCGTTTTTTGCTCTTTTCTGCCTATTTTCCGTCCTTTGCATCATTTAAGAAGAAGAAGGCATGAGCACAAATAAACAAGCAGTGTAGAAAAAGGGGGAAAAGAGAAAGAGGGGGGAGGAGGTGCCTCAGGTACGCAATGGGCGGCATGAATAATTTAAATAGGCCTAGAGATGGAAAGAACGAAAGAAAAAAAAGTTGCCAAGGGAGAATGTCCATCATTATTGCTTCTCCAGTGCATGTACATATCTACATCTACATCTATATATATATATAACCGAAGATCGTTAGTACTACTGCTATTATAACGCCGATTAAAGGAATATGTGAGAAGTGGAGAAAAATGTGACTAGTAAAGAGGTGCAGGAGGCTGGGAAGAGAGGGGGGAAAATAATAATAAAAGAGATTACTGAGTGGTGGTGGTGGTGGTGGTGTGGCAAAGGAGGCGTGGGGCAAAGCAACTCCCCCTAAGAGAGCATGAAGAATTCAAAAAAAAAAAAAAAAGGAGAAGGAGGAGGAGAAGGAAGATGAGGAATGGACAATTAGGAAAGAAATGCTGACACACACGCACATGCCGAGTGAGAGGAGGAAGATAATAACGTGGGTAATTGTGACTGTTTTCCATGTAAACATACATGTATGACGGTAATGTTTATAGCAACAACAACAAAAAAAGAAAAAAATGAATGTGTGATGCATAAAGGAGGCAAACGATGACATCTTCTATTTGTACCATCGCCATGTAATTAATTATATATTTACTTCTCTGTGCATTGGCATGTATTTCTTGGAAAGGAGAAAACGGGGGGGGGAAGGGGGGTGGAAATATCTCTCTTTGTTGTCGTCGTTGTTGCTTTTGCGCCTCTTCACTGTCTCTTCTGGGAGCTACGCCACTACTCCTCACAGGCCAACTCCCATAGGGGGAGAGAGAGAGAGAAAGGGTTAAAAAAAGAAAAAAGGTGAATTATTTTCTCCATCTTTTTTTTTTTTATTCCAACGAAATATTTTACCTCTTTGGATACGCCGTGAGGTCTATTTTGTTGCGGTTGTAAATGTTTGTTTGTTTGTTTTTGCTTTCGCTCCCTCCTTCTCCTCCTTTTTTTTTTTTAAATATATTCACCCAATTGCCGCGTCCTTCAATGCGGGGGCTTGCCGCCACCACAGGAGGGAAAAGGAGGGAAATGAACATGACGGCCCCCTTCGCCTCTTCCCCCAATAAAAAAAAAAAAAAAAAAAATGTACGATGGGGTTGACTGCTGCCACCGTTTTCTCTCTCTTTTCTGTTTTTTCCTTCTTTTTTTCTTTTTGTTTTTGTTTTTTGTTATCAATCACGTGGCGATGGCGCACTTTTGTGCTTTTTTTTTTTTTTTATTTTATTTCCCTGAAGGGAGTCACACCGTGGAGTGGTTGGTACACGGTGCGTGAGTGGGCCCGTCCATTTACATGCATGCATGCCCGCACACACATATATTCAATTGAGAGAAACTTTCATTATGCATATATCTATCTATCTGTCTGTCTATATGTATGTAGATATGTGGCGGGAGATTTTGTCTTTCTTCTTCATTATATTATATTATATTATATATATATATATATTATTTGATGGAGGAAAAGCCCACGCCAAAATAATGATAATAATAATAATAGTGAAAAATTTAAAAATAAATTAAATGCAATGAACGATGTGGTGAGAGAGAGAGGATGTACATGGCAGCTGTGATGTTTTCCGCATATATATTTAGGGCTTTATGAAAATAACAAATTCTAATGTAATGCCTTTTTTTTTTTTTTGCGTGCGTGCGTGTGTGTGTGTGTGTGTGTGTTTTCTCACCTTTCTTTCTGTCATGTCATGTTGATTATAGTATATACACATTATATACATACACATATATATATATATGTGTTTATGCATGTATACACACATACATTTTATATTTTTGTATCTACACTTTTGGAAAAGACATGCGGGGCTGTGGCGTGCTTTGCGCAGGGCACAAGAGGGCAGCGGTGATCGCCACCACCACATGTTCATTGGGACCGCCAACATTAAGCCCTTCATTGACATTACGGCCGGTGGCGTGTGCCGCGACGCCGGTCACCATTCCGATCTTCCCTCCACCAATGCGGGGGAGTTTTATTGACCGGAATCCCGTCTGGGCCTCTTTCAACGAGAAGCATACCGCCAAGTCTTTCCGCCACCGCATTGTCTCCAGCGCGGATGTCTCGTTGCGGCCGCCACAGTTTTATCTTAGCAATGAAAAGGTATCTGCAGGAGAGGCGGCGGTGGTGCAAAAACGGGCGGAAGCAACGGACAGTTACGGTGAACAATTGGACGAAATCAGCGCGCGTTGGGCGGCAAAATTTTACGGTCGTGTGACGTTTGGTCCACGCAACTACCCCTACCCGTCTTCTCGCTGGTTGGCGCGGCGTTTCAAAATGAAGAAGCACAGGATTATTAAGCGATTTCGCTTTCGGCGATACAAGTTAGCGGCTGTCGCCAATCTGCCCTTTGCAAAGATGATCCGTGTTGGACTGCTGCCGGAACTCAAGAGCAGCAAGACGAAGAAGGGCGACGATGTGGAAGCAGACCTCAGCGGACGACTCGTTAGCGCCGTGCGCAGCTCCGGGGGGAAGAAGAAGGGCAACCGTGGAAGGCCCAAGTCAAAATACCAGATTTAGTGAGAACGAAAGAAAAGAACAAAGGATACATATAATACATTAGGGTAGAGAGAGAGATATCGTTGCATGTACGTGTAATCATGCATGGATCTACTCTTTGTAATGGACCGGCAGGTAGAATTATCCAAATGGCGCTTAGAGGAATCACGCACACTGTGGGAAGGCAAACATTTGTACGGATTAATTAATTTTTCTTTCCTTTTTTTTTTTTTTCGTTAATTGAAGAAACGAGACTGTTGGAAGAGGGCGGGGGAGGAGAGGATTGAGAAGAGAAGAGGAATAGAATTCCGGCGTAGTGCTTTTGTGTGAGCCGCCACAGCGATGGCTGCCGTGGCGGCTGGCGGGGTTTGGCAAAAGGCCCTTGCCCAACTACAGGCGAGGTCATGGAATGTTGGCCGTGCGCCAACGGCACGTTGTTGGCTTGACTTTTTTCGTTTTTGCGCGACCCCTTTTTCCACAAGTACCGGGCAGAACCGGCCGTCCATTTTGACGTCGTCTTTACCAACATCGGTGCGCCTACTCATAGCCGAAAGTATCATAGATGTGGTAAGGCTGGCTCGCCTGCAGCAGCTCTTTTCCACATCGCCTGGGGGTATGTTTTGTGACTTGCAGGACGACGGGCGGCATGGCAGCAGGGAAGAAACGGCGGCGTCTTTTTGGGCCGGTGGCGTTCCGGAAGATGTGAATGGTGTTTTTCTCACCACCGATGCTTCTCCCTCCATGCCCTCGTCGGAGATGGTGGAGGTTTTGTCGCACTGGTGCGCCGCACATGAGGCCCCGCACGATGTTGCGCAGTTGTTAGGCTGGCTGCGGGAGGCGGTGGGGTTCCTTCGCTTCTTCACGCCTCAGTCCATATCGCACCTTGAGGGAGGTGCACCGCAACAACAACAACAACGGAGGCTGTACCTCACATATTCAGAGCTGCTTCGTGTCTTGCACCATGGGCTCTTTACATTCTCTCTACGTCCCCAGGCGAATGTAGTGGAAGATGTGTCGGCAGATGTCTCGGTTCACGAAGAAGTAGCATTACTTGCAATATGGCTTCTGCAGAAATTGAGGAACGGCGATGCGGAAGATGGTCTTGTTGACTCTTCCAACCCCCCGTCTTCCGTCCATGTTGACCGCAACAGTAATAACAACAACAACAAGAAAAAAGCGCTTAATAAGATGGAGAATATGTTACAGGAGACACAGATGCTCCTTGCCTCGCGTGGGGCGACGCAGGCATGGTTGCTTCACCTTCCGGGGGTTCTTCGTGACTGCAGTGAAAATACCAACGGTCCCAGCAGTGGGGCGGTAAATGACACGGCGCGGCGTATTATTAAAATGCAAAGACGTAGTCCTGTCTGCGGAATTGCTAGCGAGCTTCTTTTGTTTACCTCCTCTTCCACGAGTTCTCCGAATGTGTGTGTGCCTTTTGTGGATAGATTTGCCCTGGAGAACGAGGCCGCGGTGTATGCGATGCATGCGCAGCTTAGCTCCATCGCATTTGCTGGCAAGGCCTGAGATGGAAATAAGTTACTGAAACATGACTTTTCCACCATGGAAGCATGCATAAATTACATACAAGCATATTTTGCTCTCTTTTTCCCTCTCTCTGTATGTATGTATTTAAGTATTTAAGTAATTATTTGTGTACTGCCATTAGTCCTTTCATGACCATGTGTTTCTCTCTCTGTGTGTGGCATCACTGCGGGATGGTCTCCCTTCTTTCTTTTCTTTTCTTTTCTTTTTTTATTTTTTTTTTTGTGTGTGTGTGTTCTGTCTTTTTTTCGTTGACATTGTTTTGTTTGTTTTTGTTTTTTACTTATTTGGGCACAACAATACAACCACACTCTTGACAGTAGGCGAGGCAATCGCTTTTGGTCTTTTAAGACCCATCACCATTCACACGCACAACCCAACCACACTCAAATCACCAAAACCACACGCACACACACAGACAGAGACACACACTCAGAGAGAGAAAGAGAGAAAAAAAAAAAAGAAGGGAAACCGAAAAAAAATGAAGGCATGTCAATTGCGTCTTTCTTTCCTCTTTGCTCTGTCAGCGCTTCGGATGGGACGCGTGTCAAGAACACGTTTGCCGATAACTCCTCCCGCGAATTTGGCTACATTTCACCCGGCCATTGCAAGTTCGTGGATGACTGCGGCGTCGAACAAATTACTGCAGCCGCAACATGTTCTTCCAACGAGCCGCAAACTTGCCTGGTGGCGTTGCCCTCACTGTGGCCACGAACACCACAAGCGGATTGATCTTCATGTGGCTGCAGGTGGGGTTTGCCCAAGATGTCACCGCATGCCTACACTGCTGCACCCAAGCGACGCATCCAGTGCCGTATTAGCTATACCGCTTGTGAAGCACCGCTGCCGCCCTGACAACAGTCTGTCTGTGTTGGCTGCTGCTAATGCAAACCGAGTCAAGAGCAGTATTGCGGATGATGGCTACCTTCGTGTGGTGGAGACTCGCAACCTGCAGCCGATGCTTGCGCGGAACTTTGAAAAGGAGAGCGACACGATAGATGATGACGCTGTTCTTTTCGTCTCCCCCAAGCTTGATGGGGTACGCTGTATTGTTGCGTGGAATGTGCGGGAACGGCGACCATGTTTTTTCAGTCGTTCGGGCACCCTCTTTGAATGTTGTGATCATCGTATTGAACCGGGGCTGCGTCCACTGTTTGAGAAGGATCCAAATCTTGTACTGGATGGAGAGTTGTATAATCACAATGTGGACGACTTTGAGCAACTCATATCAGCCATCCGCACCACGCGGGATCGACGCACGCCGGCTATTGCAAAGCTTCAGGAACAACTCCAGTACCACGCCTTTGATATCATGTACGCGAGTAAGTTTCCGGATATGTCAGTTGTACCTTTTTCAGAAAGGCACAAGCACCTCGGTAGATTGATTCATGGCCTTGCTTCATCCAAGGGACAAGTTCAAGAGAAGGCGGTGGTGTTGGTGCCTGCTGCTCAAGTTAAAAAGGCTGACATACCACGTCTCCTTCGCTTGTCACTGGCAGATGGCTACGAGGGCATCATTGTACGCCGTGACGGTGTTGTTAGTGCAAGAGGAGAAAACAATTGTAGTCGCTCCGGTACTTCTAGAGGTGTGAACAAAAGTTCTAGCAGAGGGGTGGTAGTTGGATACGCCTATGGCGCCCGATCCCCGAATCTTCTCAAGTACAAAGTCATGCAGGATGATGAATACGTCATTGTATCCGGGGTAGAAGGGCGCGGCAAGTGGAAGGGTTGCCTTGGTGCCTTTGTTTGCCGTACGAAAAGAGGCCACCAATTCACCGTCGCCCCCGCCACAACAGAACAGAGGAAGAAGGATATGTGGCAACGTCTTGCACAGTACAAGGGGAAGATGCTTACGGTGCAGTATCAAGAGCTGTCAGCGAATGGAGTTCCACGCTTCCCCATTGGCAAATGTGTGCGGGGTGCAAAGAACGGTAAGGACTGGATATGATGGCATGATCGTTTGTGCGAATACATGTGCAATCTTCCCCCTTTTTCTTTTTTTGCACTTGCATGTACGCATTTTCCTTGTGGTTTGTATTTATGATTATATTTTGTTGTGGTTGTCGTTTGTTGTTATTTGTACTTTCAGTTTTTCACTGTAACCATTTTTTTTTGTTTTTTTATGTGCGATTGTGTTGTTTTTTTCTTTTTTTTTGTTTGATGTCTTCTTTATTGATGGGAGATGTTTGTTGTTGTTTGCTGCTGTCCTTCTTCTACCCCTTCATGTGTGTGGTTGTTGCGTCTGCCGCCGCCGCCGCCGGTGAGGGGAGGGGAGGGGCTCTCCGAGGAAAACAGCAGCCAACACAACCCGCCAATTACTCGACCGACACATGTCTTGTCGTTTTTTGGTGAACACCCACCGCAGCGGGCGGTCGGACGCATCACACATTGCCGCCATTGCACGAATTCTATTTTGTTGGTTTTTTTGTTTTTCTCACAGGCACAAAACTACGGAGAAGGGGGAGAAAAAAAGTTTTGAAGCGGCGGGCCCTGAAATAAAACGAGAAAACAACAACCAAAAAAAGAAAGAAAAAAGTACAATAATAATAATGGGAAAGAGTAGAGAAAAAAAAAATGTCCCGCCAATTATTATTATTTTTTTTTTTTTCAAAAGGGGACGGCGGTTGTTGGGAGGAACTTTTTGTGTGTGTGTCTGTTTGATTGGCTCTCATGTCCCTTGTGTGTTGCATGGGCTCTGTTTTCCCATTCTTCGCTTCTCTCGCTCTTCTGTTTGCTCCTTTTTGTTTGTTTGTTTGTTTTGTGAATGGTTGTGGCAAGGATTGGAGCGCGGACTGAAATGTGGCGGCGTTGCAGCTGCCTGGGGCGAGCGATCGTGCAGTCGGTGGATCCTTCGCTTCTTTTCGGTGCCGGCCGCCCTCGCACGAAGCAGCAGGCTGAGAAGTACAAAGAACTGAAGAATACAACCATTCAAGCTGCCTTTCCGCACCTTGCCGCATGTTGGGTGGGCCCATGCTGGGGTACCGTCATGATCACGCCGCACCACATCTCGCCGCTTTGTTTAAAGATGGCAGTGTGGCGCTGTAGTGAATGCTTACAGGAGTTTGAGATGAGTATTGCCAAGTTTGTTGACCAGCATGGGGTGTGTCCGCTCTGTAAAAAGCCACAGCGGTCGCTCGAGACACCAAATAAGGAACCGGAAACGACAAATGGAAGTTCCACTGAGGGGAAGAATGGCGATTCCAACTTGGGATCGGCCACGGCCATGACAATGACAACCACAACGAAGAATGAATTGGTATATGCGAAGGCTCCACGCATGATTCACACAAACTACAGGAGTGTGTTGCATGATAACCCCGAGTGGGAAGAGATCAACATTCAGCCCATGCTCGCACAGAAGTGGGAGACGGTGGCGGCCGAACTCCTGAATCCAGGTCCAGGGGAAGAGAAGGAGCTCCTGCTTGCGTCGCCTAAGATTGATGGTATTCGCTGTCTTATTGGTTACAACAGACGTAGGAAGGAACCGAAATTCTTTTCCCGTGGTGGGATTCTGCTGGAGTGTTGCCACGGGCTAGTGCCGCACGTGATGCCGCTGTTTGAAGCTGATCCGACGCTTGTGTTGGACGGGGAGCTCTTTGCTCCTCAATGCAACTTTGAGGAACTGAATGGCCTTGTGCGACGTCTGGAGAAATTTACGACACCCGAGATGCGAGAGCGGCAGGCGCAATTGTTGGAGTACTTCTCCTTTGACATCATGCACTCGTCGCAGCTTTCGTCGCCTACTGCCCCTTTTAGTGAACGCTACCGGCTGCTGAAAAAGATGGTTCCTACTTGTGGGGCAAAGCGCATCAGTGCATACCAGCACGATGAGGAGAAGCGTAAAATTATTCGTCAGAAGCAGCGCCCCGACAATGCTGCGGCGGAAGGTACGATTAAACTGTACCACGTCCCTGCAGCGCAGGTGGGTGCAGAAGAGATGGACGAGGTCCTGGAGGAAGCATGCTCGCAGGGGTTTGAGGGCGTGATGATTCGCCGTCCGGGGTTTCCATATGAGCATGGGAAGCGCAGCTTTGGACTTTTAAAGTACAAAACAATGCATGACGCGGAGTACCGAATAGTGGATTTCCTTCCGGGGCAGGGCAAATTTAGAGGTGGGCTGGGTGCATTTATCTGCGAAACAAAGACCGGTATACGCTTCAACGCCACACCCAAGACGACATATGAGAATAGACTGGCACTGTGGGGGAAACGGCAGGAGCTCCTTGGAAAGTATCTCACCGTGCAATACCAGGAGTTGTCCTCGCAGGATGTGCCACGCTTTCCCGTGGCAAAGGCCGTGCGTGGTGCCTCGGAAGAAGAGTTTTTGTAAAACGTACATAAATACACATACACACACACATACAGGGAGATATATATATATATATATATATATGTATTTATAGATAAAGTGAGAGAGAATGAAAAAGAGAGAGTGAAAGGGAAAAAGGACTCATGAAAAGGGAGAAGGAAAGTTGAATTTATAGATTTATAAAAATGTAGAATAAGATCCAATAAAAAAAAAATAATAATAAAAAAATAAAAGAAATAAAAATAAAGGAAAAAGGAAAGGGCACATGAGAAAGAGGGGGTGAGGCGAAATGTCAACTGAGCCAGCAGCAGCAGCAGCAGCGGCAGCAGAAGTAAGGGGAGGAGGGGATGGATATGACGGAAGGAGTAGACAGACACAAACTCACTTCACTCCATCTCGTCGTTTGTTGCTGTGAGCCATGAGCTCCACCCACCCATCCCTTCCTTCGGGCAATGCATTGCGCCCAATGATCCACTTCTCCCTATTGATTCCCATCACCCTGCGACAATTAACACTTACGAGGGGGGTGCTGCAATCTCGGGTTAAATCGTCCCAATTCCCTCTTATCGGTCTTTTTTTGTTGTTTTTTTGTCTGGGAGTCCCCACACTTCTTTGCTATTATTATTATTATTATTATTATTATTATTATTATTATTAGTCCACTCCGAACTAAAGAGGAGGGAAGATGCATGAAGAAGATGAAAAAAAGGAAAAGAAAAGAAAAGGAAGGGCAAATGGGAGGCGGAAAACAAATAAAAAAAGGAAAAAAAAAAGAAAAAAAAAAAAAGAGAAGAAGAAGAAATTTGCCTCATGTCATTTATGATAGTGAGAACAAACTCATGCATGGAGAAAAAAAAAGGGAAAGAGAAGGAGAGAGAAAGGAGGGATGGAACTCACATGTACTTCTCTGTTCTTTGGTTTTGGTGGCCCTCTTTGTGCATCTTTACATAACTCTTCTTCTTCTTCTTCTTCTCTTTCTTTTTTCCATGTGTGAGAAAAAAAGGAAGTGGTCCCTTTGGTACTATCGCCTAACACTCAAACACATACACATATATATACATATATATATAAAGAGAGAGAAGCATTATAAAGGAATTGTTAATAAACGCACGTGTATCAGTGTTGGTTGTTGTTGTTGTTGTTTTTAAATATATGCGCAGGGGTGGTGAGTTTATGTTGAGAGTCCCATCTTCTCGACTTTTTGCGTCGGGGCGGCGAATTCACGCCGGTTTTGTCAGCCACATATATGCGACTTCATGCATAGGCGTTCAACTGCGAGCCTCTATGAGAAACAGTGGGCAACTGGTAGGACTGACAACACATGGATGTTTGTGTACCTCGCGTTGTGGTGTTGCATACAAGACGGATGCCTCTTCCTTTGAAAGTGAGGTCATTCAGTCCCAACAAGCCATTTGTTTGGTGTACTACCGGCCAGATAGTAGCAGTTGTAACGCCTACTTGACACATGCAGAGCGTCTTGTGAGTCGGCTTAACAGAGAGATATCGGATACGGACAAGAAGGATGGATGCGATGGCGAAAAAGAGAAAAGTGTTCCTGCACAGAAGGCGTGGTTGAAGCTTTGTACCATTAATGCAGACGAAAACCGGAATCTTGCCTCTGCCTTTTCTGTGGAGCGGGCAAAGTTGCCTGTGACGTACTTTATCATGCAAGGCACCATCATTGACAAAGTCACCGGTCATGTGGTGGAGTCTCGGCTGGAGGGCATCCTGCGTAAATTCCTTGAACATTATAAGCAGCAGATGAACGTGGAATTGATGGGCGGTGGGTCACCGGAGCATCAGCACCCTTTGCCAGCTGCGGCCACTGCCGACCTTTTACACGGCGCCTCTACTCAATATTTACAGAACCGAATTATGGATGCACTTGTTGGTCCAGAGCGCATTCGTCTCCCTGAAGAAAGTGAGCAACTGGACGGCCTGCGAAAGACCGTTCAGCAAGCAAAGAAGAAGGCGTTTGATGAGCTGCAGGAACTACGCAGGGAACTTGGGGTGGATGTAAGACGCCTCAGTGAGGAGGAACTGACAAAGCGATATCATCGTTCCTCGCAGTACATTGCTTGCACAGTGCTCTCCGCGCTTGAGGCACTCTTTTTGGCACGTGTACATGCCACTATCGGTAACATTGCGGCAGAGAACATCATATTTGCGTTGAATGCCATTCAACGCGATTTTTCCCCTGTTCTTGCAGACCCAACGGTACGAAGACTCATTTCTCTCTGCGAGGTGTTACTTGTGCGTGGGGAAGTTGTTCTGCTGCAGCGGAGGCAACACCACCTTCCATCCGGTAGTGATGATGCGGTCAGTGATAAATTGGCACGCACACTTTACTGGATTGACAACCTGGTCGACGCTCGCGTGGTACCAGAGCAGTTTCCTAGTGATGAGGTGGAGGCGATGTTCACGTTGCTTAGATCGAATCTCCTCCAGTCAAGACGAGAAGCATCGCAGCCCAAAGAGGGGGAAGAAATGGCGATGGTGGAGACTGAGAGCGCACGGTGCGTGCGGCAGACAAAGACGTGCCTCTTGGGCCTACTGCAGTTGTACCACGGTGATCCCAAAAGCCAGGACGCACGTTCGCGGCTCTCCTCTCTCCTGTACTGAGATGCAGAGGTGGGCGTTGCACACACGGCACCAACCGTGGATACGCCTTTGCCGTCTGTCGCAATCACTTTCCAATGTCATTGGGTGTAATTTTTTTTTGTGTGTATCGACGGCACAAATAACTTGGGTGCCTAAAAAGCAAACTTACAGACGCACGCAATGGTGAATCTGTGTGAAATAGGGGCAAAGGAAACCCAAAGGAGACGTATATACATGTGAAGGGCCTTTATTTTTTGATTCTGTTTGTTTGTTTGTTTTTCCTTTCTTGTTTTATTATTATTATTATTCTCCTACTCTCTCATTCTATGTGCGTGTATGTTTTTCCTGAAATTGCCCTGCCATTCCTTATTCTGCGCCATATCTTTACACTCACTCCCACTTTTACCTTTTTTTTTTTTTTTGTGTGTGTGTGTGTCTGTGTGTATGTGTATGCTTGCATTTCCCTTCATTTGGCGTACTTTATAGGCATAAATACATATTTATATATTTACATTCATTTAGGGGCGTTCATTGCCCATTTGCGTGCGTTCTTTCCTTTTTTTTTTTTTTTTCATTCCTTTATATATATTTTTTTTGCCTGACTCTCAGCACACACATACACATACACACACGCACAGTATATATATATATATATATATATATAGACTGTGAGGGGCGGGATCGAACATGCGAAGTGACTTCTCTCTTGAAGCTTTGACTGAGGCAAATATTTACCGTTATTACCCTAGAAATCGCCTTCCTTACCATCGCCGTATTCGTCATGATCATCAAGGGGAAATGGATTCCCAGCCGCAACCCAACAGTATCAGGCGGTATGGGTCGATTTCTCCAGGGAATAGCCGCAGCATGAAGAGCAAAGAACGTGATACAGAGTACAATTGCAGCCAAGATAGGAGGCAGCTTACCGTGTTTGATTCTCTCACGACGCAGACAGGCGGGGTTGCAAAGGATAGCTTTGGTTGCGCTCCATACAAGGCCATTTATAATTTTACAACTCCACCAGAAGCATTTGACGGCGGGAACAACAGTGATGATGAAAACAGTAATAGGAACAAAAAACAATGCGGCAGTAGTGTTTTTAGTGGTGGCCGAAGGAAGAGAAATAGCGGGGAATGCGACAAGAAAATGGGTGTGCGACAGCCGGACCTGGACGTTCCATGGGAACTTCGTGAGGCTTTTAGTGACCCGATTTGCAGCTACTTTGACTTTCTTGGTACCAAACATTTTTGGTTTCTAGTTCAATTCTCAGCCCGCGTAACGCTTATAGGTATGCTTATTCCTGCTGTGATTATTGCCTTGGAGAGCCATCAGAAGGAGTATATGTCTTTTACGTATACACTCCCGGCTGTTATTCTTGGTACCGATATTTACGTAGGGGGTTCTGCTGTGTTTCTGGTACAGTTCCTGAAGGCAGGATGCATTTGGCTTCCACTCGCCACAGCGTCTGCTGCGCTGGAATTGCATCGTAAATTTGTGGTTTGGCTGGTGGTTTACTTCCTTTTGCTTTTCTTTATTGCATGTCTCACAAGAAGTGTGACGCAGCGTATTTGTCTTCTGCTTATTAACATTTCTCTGGTTGGTCAATTGAACGGTCACACTACCTTGATGTTTCCCTTGTATTTATTATTGAGTTGGCTTATTGGTCTTCTGTTTGGGTTTGCCGCCATCCTTTTGCCGTACCCAGTTTTGGCAACACGGTCTGCTCACTCTATCATACGCCGTCTTTTTACGAATGCCGGTACGGCGTTTAGAGGCCTGTCGACATGCTTCTGGGCTGTTTCCAACACGGAGCGTAGCATGGGGATGGTGCGTATCCGGCACGTCACGCGTTCACTGGACATTCTTCTTGACAAAGCGGAAAGTATGGAGAAATTGGCCTTGTATGAGTTTCTTTTCTTTGAAAACTACGAACGTCGCAAGGTACGACTGGAGAAAGCGGATCTACTTGATAATTTACGCCTTAATTTGCGTTCCATGACACGAGTCATTGACATTGTGCAGGACAATGCGAATATCATTGACAATTCCAGTCTCTGTATTCAATTCGGTGAAATTCTTTCTCAATCAATGGAAGGCATCTCACGTTATGTAGAGGAATTATTGGATGGGATTTCAGAGGCGCAGACACGTCATGATCTTCTGAATCTTGGCCCTCGCTTTGAGGCGTGTGGGCGCAGCATTAAAAAGCTTCAAGAGGAGTTTAGTGCGGGGAGTCGTAGGCTCTTTTACGAGAGGGGGCACACGGAGATGGAGGAGTTTGTTCCGCTCATGACGTTTTTTGTCTTTTCGGTGGTAAATTTCTGGTCGGCGCTGGACGAATTCCACCAACAGGTGCGGATGGGAAGTAAAAAATCCGATTGTGTCTCGCCAAAGCGCGTGTTGGATGCCATAAAGCGCCCTTTTGTAAATAACGTGGTTTTTCTAAAGAAACTTTTTCTAAAACGCAGTGAGGCGGAAGTGCGGGTGTTGGTGGAGGCAGGGAAAATCAGTGTTGCCATGTTGATTGCTTTGTTGTTTTTTTATTACGTACAGCCGGAATTATTACTGTTGTCAGGGCCAACGATTATTGCGTTTCTATCGGGTGTAAATCCGGTGCATGCGGTGCAGGGATCTTTGGCGCGATTGACAGGGACGTTATTTGGTTCTGTGGTTGGCTTCTTTGCAGCTTCATTGTGCAAAACGAAGGTGGATTTTATCATTAGCCTGTGCGTGATCACAGCCGTTTTGACATTCTTCCGGACCGGACAAAAGTTTGGACTTGTCTGCGTGTACGCCAATTTTATTGCCATACCGAGTTTGTCGATTGATTCCCAAACGAATACCGGCAATGTCGTCAGTCGCATTCAACAAAACTCATTTGCCATTATGATTTACTGCCTGATTGCGGTCCTTGTCTTTCCGATTAGCCCTGGGAAACTGCTGATGAAGAAACGTATGCGGATCCTGCAGACAGTTGCTGATATTATGGCCAACATGATGGATTTTTATCGGGAGCCCCTGCATAATGAGCCCTTTAGATTTGACAGCCAAGATGGGGAGTTCTTACAAGTTAGAAAGGCCTTTTCCGCCGCTCACATTGACGGACATGGGGAAGGGGAAAGTACGTCAGGGAAATCTGGGAACAGGTTGAAGCCGGCGGGGATTGTGCCGACGTTCATCATGATGCCGGAGCGGGACTCTCGTATCTCCAATCTGTTTGATAAGGTGTGGTATCTGCGACGGGAGATGGCACAAACCGCGACCATCATGCCATTTGCAGCGGATGAACGGGGTATTAAACCGTTTATATATCCACAGAAGGCCTGTGAGGCGGTTCACACTGCTCTTTATCGTATTTTCGCTCTTGTGTATACAATGGTGTGCAGCTGGAGACTGATGCGAGACAAGGGATACTTTACACCGGAGGTACGTCGTATTTTACTTTACTTGTACCCTGTCGCCAGCGACATAAAACACAGTCTGCAGCGCTTCGTGAATCTCTTGAGTTTCTATGTGGCGCATCCCTCCTCCTCGCTGGGGTCGGAGCTGACAAAATGTCTCTTGCAGTTCCGTGCTCTTGTGAGTGAGTTATCCGTAAGAAATCACCGTGCCATTTTGGTAATCATCAGGGAGGCGGTAAAAAAGCAACGACAGCGTGAAGGTGAGGCACAACACATGCGTTTTTACGGAAACGATGGGCCTGATGACGGCGGCAGAAACGAATTCGGCGCAACTATCTCTTCGACGACCATGGAAGGAACCGGCAATGCGACAATCGCCTGGGAGCGGCATCGACGTTTGCGGAACGAGGATGCGCCGGAGACGATCCGGGGTGAAGACACTTCATTGCAGCTTACGGACCGCGATGTGGATGGAGCGGTGGCGGACGCGGGGAACGAGGCAGCGTCAGATTCGCGCAACACACCAAATGAGACAGTGACGGCTACGAGAGCGACGAGCGGCAATTGTCGTGTACCGATTTCGGGGGAGAAAGAAAGGACGGGAGAAAATGGCACGGCCGATGCTCTCTCACAAACACAACAACAACAACAACAACAGCAGCAGCATCATCAGGGGCAGCATCACAGCCCCATTGAGAATGCCTCTTTGCGCTTCCCTAGCTTATCTACGTTATTGGATACCGACGTTTCAGAGGGCAACGAGGATCTCCCTTTCCAGGGCACTGTGCACTTCTCCGAGAGTTTTACAATGCCCATCACGGTTTCTGACGCAGAAGGACTTCATTCCATTACACTCGCTCTAGATATGTTGGGGAAGGAACTAAAAAACGCCCTTCTTGCCTTTGAGGACATGGTGCAGGTGAAAAACTATTGATTGCCATCCAACCATGTAAATACGCATTCCGCCTTTTTCTTTCCTTTTTTTTTTTTTTTTTCCTTTTGGTGGTGGTGGTGGTGAATAAATTTTTCTGATTTTGCGAAACAGGGGGGGAAAAAAAAAAAGTTCAAAACACCGAATGTAAAATTCTGTGTTTTTGTTTGTTTGTTTGCCTGTTGTTTTTTTTTTTGTTTTTTTTGTTTTTTTGGAAGTAATGTAACGTTTTCTCTATACAGTATTTGCACACGCATTTATCTAGCAGGCAAACAACAACAAAAAAAGAAAAAAAAAAACGAAAAGGAAAGAGAGGGAAGGAAGGAGTGAGAGAGTGAGCGTTAGAAATACAACGACTCCTGTTGAATTTCACCTCAACCCCCTTTTTTTTTATTGATTTCTTTCTTTTATTTGTTATTATTATTATTATTATTATTGTCTTGCCATCTGTCCGTATATTGTTGGTTCGTATGTATATGGTATTTGTATTTTTTTTTTTTTTTACTGTTGTTGTTGTTGTTGTTGTTTTATTGCTTGTATGAAGGAGTAAATTTATATATTTATTTATATATAAATAACGGTATGCCTGCATTTAGTGGGAAACAGAAAAAGAAGCAGCTGCAGGAAAGGCGACAGCGCAAGAAGCAGTATGGGGAGGAGCATGAGGACATCCAAAGAGGAGATGTCAT